ATATCCTTGTTGTCTTTGTATTATGTTATTAACAAAAACATACTGCTTTACTATTTATACCTAGCGCCAATCAAAGTGCCTACAAAAATCGGAGATGTACTATCTTTTTTTATTTACATTTCGAATTTAGTGCATCTAATGTCGTGCTTTAAATTATATTGCATTTTTACAATTCTTTATAACCCGACAATTGTAAACTTTTTAATTAAGGATACGTCATATCAGCTGCGAAATTTCGTTATCTTTTTTATCTTTTCTACCATTACATACAGGGTGTGGCAAAAGTCATAATACAGTATAATTAAGTAAATTATACTCACCCTGTATATTCTACTTATTGACAACATTTTTTTCGATCATTTCACGATATAAATAATATTTTATTCGAGTTGCATAATTCATATTCTATATTCGTATAATTAACCTGAAACTAAAACAGAATAATAGTAATTTAAGATTTTTCCGCTAAGCATTAGCGGAAGTCCTTCAATCCTGTCATCGATTTTAAGTCGATCGAAATGTCTGCTACTATATAGGTACGTTTTAAATTGAATATAACAATTTGATAATACGATTGTTCATTTACATAGTAATTGAAATATTCTTATTTTCCTTATATATTTTGATTTGAGTAGTTTTGTTTTGTATTGTTTTGAGAACTTCCAAGAAATCTTAATTCAATACATACATAGTTAATAAATTGTACACTAGTTTCTTATATTATATTTATACACTAACATAAATAACTCATTGAAAGGAATAATTTAGAATTAATTTTCTCTCTAATTAACAAAGATACAAAAATACAATATCAAAGTCAAGCATAAATACCTTATTTTTGTCATATTTTTGTAATATATGTGTAATATATGTTCATTTATAACAATCTATTGGATAACTATATTTCTTTAAATGTTAAAGAACAAATAACTAGTTATTGCAGGTAAAGATACAATCCGATACGGTATGATATGATTCGGTGTAAAAAATCACCAAATTTAGATAAATATACAAATAATATGTATTTTTCTTTATTTATTATTGTAAGAAAAAAATTGTTCGTT